TATATATATATATATATATTTATTTATATATTTATATATATGTATATATATATATATATATATATATATATATATATATATATATATATATGATTTCTTATCCTTACTTATATTTGTACATATAATAATAAAACAAACATCTCTCTCTCTCTCTCTCGACTTTAGAGTAAGAAAGGAACAAACAAGAGTATTGGAAAGTTTGTTTCCTCTATCTCTTCAACTAGAAATGCTTCTATTCCCCCCAAATGTCCCTTCAGATCTAACTCCAAGAGCCAAGTCCCATATGGGCAACCTTAACTATGCAGATTAGTCTATAAGAGAAAGGGCGAAGAAGATTATATCTTCATCTCCGTTGCAAATGACCCTTTTTACTTTGAGCTAATCTCTTTAGAAAAGTAAAGGAACGGGGGAGGTTCTATCAGCCTATGAGCTAATCTCTTTAGAAAAGATTATAAGACAACCTGATTCCATGTTTGAGGAAAAGTTTCATAGAATCCAAAATTAAGCTGCTCTACGATCGCAACTCGATTCGAGGGAGGTTCTATCAGCCTATGAGGAGTGGCAAACTAATTTGTATGGTAAGTTCCTTAGTAAGATACCTTCTTTTGAATTATTGAGGTCCACCTTACCTATTTTTTTGGGGCATTCTGATATGTTACAATATAGTAGATATGATTGGAGGTTTCTTTTGTTTTTAATTTCATTCTGTAGAAGAAATGAACCAAGTTCTCTTTGGAGGTATATGGTTTCTGCATAGCCAACCCTTAACCCTAATATCATAAAACTTAATTTTTTTAATTATGACTAAAAAAAAGACATTATCCTCACTTGGATTCAACTTTCGGGTCTACCCTTAGAACTGCTGCAACCTAACTTCTTAGGGCAAATCGTATCCAAAGTTAAGAAGTTCCTTAAAGTTAAGCTGGATCTAGTCAGCAAGATCTGGGGGGAGGAAGTGGCCTATATTGATCCCTGTACTATTGTGAGTGGAAAATTGAATAGAGTAGGACTGGCTTTGAGTAGATGGAATAGGAAAGAGGGTGGTGACCTAAACCATGCTATCAAGAACACCCTTCAGGGCATCTAAAAGCTGAAAAGTAAAGAGAGTGAGAGTCTCATATCTGAGAATGAATCAATCACACTATAAAATCTCTACAATAGGATAGAAGCCCTTCATAGACAATAGCATCTCTTCTTATGGAATAAGGTTAACATTGCTTGGATAGAGAGTAGAGATAAAAATACTAGGTATTTTCACTCTTTAATCAAGAATCAAATGTTGAATATCAGATTTTGATGATGAAATTAATTGATAAATTATTTGATCAAATCTGTATTAAGAAAAGTGTACGAGATTAACTACGATAGTAATCAAGGTATAAAACAAAACAAAGCGTCGAAGTAAAGATCGAGATTTCGTTGAGAGTTCAAGAGTTCGTCGGAAGTCCGGATGTTCGTCGAAAGTTCTATTGGAATTGACCAAGAAGTCCAGGAGTTTGCCAAAGAAGCTTGTCGGAACTCGCCAAGAAGATCGTCATGAAGTCCAAGAGCTTACCGGGAGTTCATTGGAACATTATCAAGAGATCGTCAAAAGTTTGCCGGAAGATCGCCGAAAGCTCATCAGAACAAACTTAAACTAATCAGACTTGTTTTGCTCAGTGTATGCCTTAAGAATCGTAGTAAGCACGTAATTAGGATTAGGTTTGGGATGTAATCCCAATAACTCAGTTATGGGCCAACTAGGCCCATAATTGGACTGATTTGGGCTGGATTCAAGGCCCAACCAAGTTGCTGGACCTTGTCTGGTGGTGGAACCACCCAAGGAACGGTCGCTTAGGTGGTTTGGGCGGTGGTACCATCCAGACTAAGCGATGGTACTATCGGTAGTTATTACTTGCCAAGCGATGGTATCGCCTTATCAGGTGGTGGTACTACCAAAGCTCAATATTCGAGACTCTGTCAAGCAGTGTTACCACCCAATGTCAGAGTGTCAGGTAGTGGTATCGCCCAATATTGACGGTGGTACCCCTAGTACACTGAAAATCCAGGATGAGGCACCTTTTGACTCTAATTTTGATGCTATTGGGGCCTATAAATACCTCACCTTTTTTTGTATGAAAGAGCAACAAAGTGCAATCAAAGTGTGAAAAAAAATTCTAAGTATTGGGGTGTTAAAAGTATTGTAAAAGTGAGAAGAGTCCTCCTCCTCCCTCTTTTCAGCTTTGTAATCATTCAAGAAGAGGTGTGAGGCTTGTAAGGGTTATCTCCTGAACCTATGAAAAGGAGAAAGCGCTGCAAAGAGGTGGTTGGTCTTTACCTATTGAAGGAAAATCATTAGTGGACGTCGGTGACCTTGACGGAGGAGGAATCAGAAGTAGATATAGGTCACAATGACTGAACCACTATAAATTCTAGTATGTTCATTTCTTACTATTTAATCTCTTTACTGCATTTAACTTTATTTCATTACAAATTGTCCAATCCCCTCTTCTCTACTCACTCAAGAAAACCGAAATGGTTTTTGGTCGGAATCAAATTTTATCATATGAAGATTTTCAAATTGACGTAATTTTTTTGTTATACTAATTCACAACCCCAACCCCCCCCCCCTCCTTTTAGTGCTGCTCTTGATCTTAACAATTGGTATCAGAGCAAGATCAGACTTATTTTGATTTAAAACCTATGAGAGATGATATTTGTTGGCAACCAAGAGGGTCACTCAATCACACGTCCACCCATGTTTAATGGGATAGATTACACCTATTGAAAAACTGGAATGAGGATTTTTTTTAATTTATATGGATTTTGAGTTATGGAACATTATAGAAAATGACTTTCAAAAGTATTCACTTCTAATAAACGATTGGGAATGAGTTGGAGAAAAAGACTTTCGTTTTAAATGTCAAGGCTATGAATGTCTTGTTTTGCGCTTCATATAAAAATAAGTTCAATTGAGTGTCTATTTATGAAATAGCTTTCGATATTTGGCATACACTCGAAATCACTCACGAGGGCACTAGTAGAGTAAAGGAGTTCAAAATTAATCTTTTAGTCCATACTTATGAATTATTTCTGATGAAACCAAGTGAGACCATTGGAGACATAAGACATATACACCCGGTTTACAAATGTCGTCAATGGTCTAAAAGGACTTAGTAAAATTTTTTTTAATTTCAAACTTGTTAATAAAATATTAAGATCTCTCCCAAAGAGTTGGGATCCTAAAGTAATGGGAATTCAAGAAGCCAAGAACTTGAACAACTTTCTGCTCGAAGATCTTATTGGGTCTTTGATGACTTACGAAATGACTTACAATGCTCATGAAGAGCTTGAAAACAACCTTCTAAAGAACAAGAATGATATGACACTAAGAACTCATGAAGACCACTTGAAAGAAAATTCAAGTGATGAGGACTATGATGATGACTTGGCACTCTTGACAAGAAAGTTTAAAAAATTTATAAAAAAAATAAATCTAAAAATGACACTAAAAATAAAATTGAACCCAAGAAAGAATAAGTTATATACTACGAATGCAAGATGTTGGGACATTTCAAAAGCGAATGTCCCCAAGTAAAGAAGAAGCAACTAAAAAAGAAGAAGGTGCTCAAAGTGACGTAGGATGACTCGAGCGATTCCGAAGGCAAAGAACAAAGCAACAAGGAGATCGCCAACTACGCACTAATTGCTATCGGAGATGAGGTAAGTAGTTCAATAGATGCAAATTTATCTTTCAATGAGCTTTTAAGTGCTTTTTATGAATTATTTGATAAATGTAGAATGTTGAGTAAAAAGTATAATTCTTTAAAAGAGGAGCATGCCCTTCTAAATATTGATTTTGAAAATTTTAAGCATAATAATCCTTCCCTGCCTCCATGCACTAAGTGTGAATACTTAAAGACACTTGAGAAGGAAAACTTGCTACCCAAAGAAAGTTTAAAAAAATTTGAGATTGGTAGCAAGTCCTTGAACATAATTCTTGCTAATAAGAGTCACGTTCATAGAAGAGGTAAAATCGGATTTGTGAGTAGCTCTCACCAAAATCCAACCACCTTTGTTAAAAGCTCTACCTTGCATATATCACCCTGCACCAAATGCAACTTTTGTTGCAAACTCGGACATATTGCTTATAAATGTCTACTTAAGAGATATAATACATACAAATTGATTTGGGTTCCTAAAGGAACCATAAAGAAATCTATGCAAAACGATAAGTTAAGTAGATCGATTTTTGAGGTACCCAAGGTCAAATGGTTGCCTAAAAATCACCCTTTTTTGTAGAAATATTTACTATCACAAGCTAGGAGCAAAAGATGGTACATTGATAGTGGATGCTCAAGGCATATGACCGGAGATCCATCGAAATTCTCTAAACTCACTAGCCTAGATGAAGGATAGATCACCTTCTAAGACAACAACAAGGGTAAAATCATTGGCAAGGGAACCATAGGTAACAAATCCAATTTTTTGATTAAAGATGTGTTATTGGTTGATAGATTAAAGCATAATCTTTTGAGCATTAGTCAATTATGTGATAAAAGATACTTCTTTAGATTTGAATCCAATGCTTACATTATTGAATAACTATACAAAAACAAATCTATGATTATCCTAAAATAAAATAATGTATACACTATTGACATTGATGATCTTTCTAATAAAATAT